GCGGGGGACTACAACTTAGAAATACAAACCCCCAGGAAGGAAAATTATTAATCAGACAAAATTGTACAGACAGGTAGGAAAAAAGTTAACATAAAGGGAAAGACTGCCGGTATCAGGACTGCTAAAGACATAGATGCTTACTATGCCAAAACAAATAAGCTCCTGTAAGGAGCCCCCAAAGGACACAGCTGGCTGGGAGGTGTGGGGGTGAGTAAGTCCTTTTATCTCTGAAGCTGATCCACAGAAAAGCAGAGTCATCAATTTCCTAAGGACATTCACAGCCATCTTTAAAGAACAGAAATGAAAAGATAGCATATCTTAAAGAATGCTTTGCTTAGGTTTAAGGTAAACAACGTGTAAATTGAAGAACACATTAATTCAGCGAGCTAGTAATTATATATAGAAAAGGCACAAAATTCACAAATCCAGAGGCCACTTCGGTTCAGCTAATTAAATTATCATACAAAGAATTTGTTCATCAAATGAAAAATTAATGGTGATGTAAAGCATACTGTTTATTCTAGTATCTGAGAGAGGTGTATTGTTACCACCATTTGAGTGACAGAAAACTCTGATTCAGAGCGTTAAATTAACCAAGGTCATAAAGCCAGTCAGTGATACCATCAGAATTAGAATCCAGGCTGTCTGCGCCTCTCCTGATACTGCTAACAAGAGTATAAACCACAATCTACACAGCAGTTTAAGTTCATCCTTACCAGTCACCTGGGAGCTGAGTTTTGAAGAGGGAGTTAAAAGGGGACATCTGACTTTCTCAAAGTAGAACGGGGCTGAGCTGTCAAAAACAGGAAAAAAAGTGAGTGCGGCAATCGCCGAGCGCTCCATCCCCGCAGCTCTGGACGGTCGCTCCCGCGCCAGCGGCCCCGGGACCAAGACCTGCTCGGGATCAGGCAGCCCAGCGGCGATCGGCTGTCTGCCCGGAACCTACGGGTCTGTGGCTGACAGACCCCGGGGACAGGGGCAAAGTCTCCTCGGCGGAGCCGGGTCTCGCAGGGTGCCCCACAGCAGCAGCCCCCGCGGGGCGTGTGGCGGGGGCGGGGGCGGGGCTGGGCGCGGCGGAGGAGGGACGGCCGCCGGGCCCACAGAGCTCCGCGAGAGGCGCGGGCCAGGCGGCGGAGACACCTCCCACTTCCTCTCCCCCTTTCCTTTCGCCCCCTCCCCATTACCTCGCCCGTGGGTTTCTCGGCGGCGTTGCCGCCACCAAAGGGCATCTGAGCCGGGGCGGCGTAGCGAAAGCCGATTAGCTGGCGTCAGCCGCGACCTGCACTAGCGAAGGAAACCCTCAGGTTGGGATGGAGAAAGGCCGGGGCTGTGAAGCGAAGATGAGGGGCGCTCCGGGCTAGTGGAGATTCTACTCTTCTCGTCCCTCGCACTCCGCTTCCGCTCCGCCTCCTGTTGGAGCCCTTCCCCCCACTTCGAAGACCAGCGGCGCGCGGCATTGTGGGGGATGTAGTCCAGGAATGCGGAAGAGGTGGCACGTGCTTCTAAACGCCGGCCAATACACCGGGTCAGGAAGACGCCGTTGCGAGGCAACCAGACGGGGACCGGCTCTTTCTTCTGGAGTCTAAGGCTGGCAGTCTCTCCTTTCCTTTTCCTTTTCCTTTTCAGGCAACTGAAAAGGGTATATGGGCGACCTGCTCTTGACCATCCAGCAGGGGAACTAACAATTTCAACACATTTGGCTAGAAGCAAGAAGGTTTTTTTACTGATTGAAATGTGCTATGGGTCGGGCCCTCCCTGGTGGTGCTGCGGGTTAAAGCACAGCAAGCCATTTCAGCAGGAGTTCGAACCCCACCCACCACGGAGGTGACCACGTGGCGCGGCAGACAGCTCTTGACCCGCCCGCTGCTCCCCTCAGCAGTGTGCTCCTCGATCTGCCTGTTCTGCACCCCACTCTCTCTGATGAATCCTCTCACTGCCCCTGCCCCTCTGGCCTGTACCCCAGTTCTGTATGCACAAATAAATAAATCTTTTTAAAAAAAGTGTACTATGGACAAGAATTCCCTTTATTGCCCCCGAAGGGTCTCAGCCTTTGGAGTAAAGAAAAATAAAAGGACAAAGATTGAATAGGAAGAAGCAATGTCTTCGCAGATGATCATTATGTACGCGGTAAATGCAAAGCAATCTACAATTAAATTGTTAATAAGGACTTGATGGTTACAAAAGTCATGTTTTTAATTTTTTTTATATTTTCTTTCATCATTGTTAATTTTTGGACAGTATTTGGAACCACCCCTCAGGTGTAGTCCCCATAATACTCCCACTACCACAGTACCTGTAAAGGTTGGCCACAGTCCCTGGTGTACTTCTCACCCCTTTGACTCCCTCCCCCTTCCGCTGTAAGTATGTATGCCTCAGATCTATTGTCAGCTTGTAAGTTTTTCCTTTTACCTGACCCATTGTTTGGTTTCAATATATCCTGCACGTAAATTAAACCATCTGTTATTTATTGTTTTCCTGACTTCATTTAGCATAATCCCTTTCAGTTTCATCCACATTGGTGTGAATGGCATGAATTTATTTTTTTGTTTGCTGAGAAGTATTCCATTGTGTTATATACTACATCTTCTTGATCCATTCATCTATTGGGAGTGTTTAGGTTGTTTACATATCTTGGCTACAAAAATACGTATTTTTTAATCAACATTACTATATTTCAGGTAAAAAGAGTTATTTTTATAAGATAATATTTACAATGGTAGCAAGCAAATAGCAACTTCCTAGAAATAAAACAATCAAAGAGGGCCTCCCTGTTGGTGCAAGAGGTTAAGTCGAAGTACTATGAAGCTACCACAGTCACTGCAGCATGAGTTCAATCCCTGGCCGGGGAGGTGACCCAAATGGTGAAACAGATCTTTCCTGTCTCACCCACTGCTACCCACAATAGTGTACTTCAGTACATCTGCCTGTTGTGCTCCCTACTCTGTCTTTGATGAATCCTCTAACCCCCCAACTCCACCTCTGGTCTGCACCCCAGCTCTTGTATGCATACAAAAATAAATCGTTTTTAAAAAGAAAAAAAAAATCAAAGAAGTACAAAACCTGTATGGCAAAACCATTTAAAATTTTGAAGATCTAAACAAAGAAGAAAGCATGTTTTTCATGGACTACAAGATTCAATACCAAGAGATGTCAATCTCCCCAGTTTCATCCTAGATCCAGTACATTTCTAGTTTAAAGCTATAGTAATTAAAAGTAGACAAATATACCCAAGAAACAGAATAAAGAGCTCAGGATGTCTTATCCATACATGGAAATTTGACTTACGTTGTTATACTGGTAATGTATAACAAAGCCTAAATAATCAATTCTGGTACAAACAACTTTGATTTTGAAGGAAAAAAATGAAATTGAGCTTTTTACATTACATTAAAAAATCAGTGTCAGAACCACTATGGAAAACTGTTTGGAGGTTCCTCAAACTGCTAAATATGGAGCTTCCCTATGACCCAGCAATCCCAC